TCCAAACCTTTCCAAACACTTCCCACAAGCCATTTCCAAAGGCTCTTGAACCACATGGTCAGGTATAGTCACAGCAAAGACCCCACTTCTCTGGTACCTAGTTCTATCTTGGTTACTTTTCTCTCATTGCTGAGAAAAAATACCCAACACCCAAAATGAAGGAAGGAAAAGTTTATTTAGCTCACAGTTTGTGGAGGTTTCAGTCTGTACTTGGCTGGCTGCAAGGCATAGTGGCACATGGCAGAGGGCAACAGTTCATGGCACCAGAAAACAGCAAAAGCAACAAGAGCAAAAGGGAGGAGGGTGGCAAGCAGCCTCTTTCCCTCCCTTACATTGTATGCACACTACCCGCCTCAGGGCAGGTGTAGCACTCATACCCATAGTTCCAACACTGGGCCATGAATCAATCATAAACTCAGAATCCCACCCCATGCCTACATGAGGCTTCGAGGGGACATCCAGACACACACCATAACATACCTATATTGGGCCACAAAGGAAAAATATAAATTCCCCGAAGCACAAAATTTAGGCTGCATTCACAGACTATAATGCGTCAAAATTAACAAGCAAACATAAAAAAATTTAAATTTAAAAATTAAAACTATTTAGTACTTTCCATCCACTCTTTTTTTGTTTGTTTTTTGAGACAGGGTCTCACTATGTAGTTCATGCTGAACTTGAACTCACTATGTTGTTCAGTCTGCCTTGGAACTCATGGCAATCGTTCTGCCTCAGCCTCCCAAGTGCTGAAATTACAGGTGTGTGCCACCACACCCAGTTCCCGTTAGCTCTCTTTCAAGAGTAACTGAACCAAGGAAGTCTAAACTATATTTCTAATTTGGTTAGACAATAATGAATAAAACCTATGGCATATTACCTAAACTACTAAGAATGGGAAATCCACAGCCTTAAAAAAATTGAGAAAGAGTAACAATAAACTAACTACACACTGTTCTAGGAATTAGAGTAAAAACAAGGAAAGTAGTAGGACCCCACAGTGGTTGGCCAGCCGAGGATTGCTTGTGGGGGAGAACCACGTGCTGCATCTGAGAGGCTGTGAGTGTGTGTGTGTGTGTGTGTGTGTGTGTGTGTAAAATAAGAAAGGTATGAGATTAAATTCACCTGTAACCCCAGTACTTGGGAGGCTGAAGCAGGATTGCTGCCAGTTTTGAGGCCAGCTTGGACTACTTAAAGCCCAGCCTACACTACAGAGTGAGACCCTATCTATATTTACTTATAAATATAGATAGACCCTATATATATAAATAGACCCTATCCTATATTTATTTTTAGAAAAATAAATAAATTCAACTTTATGAAGTAGCACAAGGTGCTATTCGGTGTTTCTCGTGTCCCTGAAAGTGTACTGTAACTGTTTCCTTTTTGCCCCGCTTTTTTCTCATTTCTTTTGTCCTCCCACACTCCTCCTCTGTCTCTTCCAGTGCTCTGAAGACTATGTATTTCACTTTTTTATTAGCACATGCTTACGATACATAATGAGTATATTCACTGTGGAGACTTGGTACAGGAGTTGGAGCTGGTACATCTTAGTTCTTTTTTTGTCTCCGTCCCTCGGCCCTCTCCCTTCCCTCCAACTCTTGGTCCTCTTTCCATTTGCAAAAGATCCCTCTCCCTGTTGCAGATCATCCATCCTTTAGTTTGCTGATTTATTTGTGAATTGGGTTTTTCATATAAGAGAAATCATATGCTCTTTAAGCTTGTGTGTCTGATTTATTTCACTTAATATTGTGGGTTGGGGCTGGGGATTTAGCTCAGTGGCAAA